GTCGTACAGCCAGCCACAGAAGGCCGCACACTCTTTGATCTGGGGAACAGTGGTTCTGGGCCACTGGAACTTCTCTCTTCAGGGGGCTCATGAGCAAGAGTTCTGAGGACATAGCAAGGTGACAGTTAAGCTTGGGTGTTTAAAGTTTAAAAACCATGCTTTTCTAGAGATAAGCAAGGTTACTTAGATGATAGAATCTAACAGGCTCTGCTCCCAGAGGAACCCAGTTCCAAGATGACAGCCTTTATGTGTGGCCCTTCAGTGACTAGAAGAACAGCAGGCTGGAGGACTTGGGGCTTCCAGGTGCTTGTTTTCATTCTGTGGTGGCTGGAGCGGTGGTGCCCAAGGTGTGGGCCCTGGCCCTGCAGCTTCTGCGCCACATGGGAACACATCAGCAATGCATAGTACTAAGGCACACTCCACCCTCATGAGTCAGGATCTCTGGAGTAAGACCCAGGAGTCTGTGTCGTGGCCATTCTCCAGGGGACCCTTAGGCAAATGCTGAGTTTTGAGAAGCACGGGGCTAAAGGTCCGCCTTGCTGCCCTGTCCCTTCATCATACCTGGTAGAAGGAAGCCAGTTCCCAGACCTGACCTGCTGTGCATCTTTATGTGCAGGAGGCTCAGGAATTCTCGTTCAGTGGTGTTGGCACTAAATAGAATTACGTTCATGTCTAAGACAGTTTCTAATAATGCATACTTTATAAATGCTTATTTAATAATACTAATTCTGCCCGTGATGGCTGTGGTCAGAACCAAAGTTAAATATGGTTGACATGGAGAAAGGTGGTCTGAAAGACACAGGTAAGAATAATGCTCCAAGTCTAGCAAATGCCACTAGAAAGGACAAGAGAGTCATGAATAGCTCATTTAATAATTGCCTTGTTGGGGGAAAAAAAAGTCTTCATGAGAGGAGCTTTGACATCAGGAAAAAAGCATCTCAACCAAAAGGTTTAATTTTTAACAGAAGCCTGAAATGGCTGGACAGCCACAGCGATGAGAAAGTACTATTTCTAAATAAGGTCTTGCTTTGCACATGTGTATAAATAGCTTAGACAATGAGCCCTACTTTCCAGTGACACAGTAAGGAGGGGAACTGACCGTGACCTGTCACACAGCCATGGATGAGCAGCACTGGAATGCAAACTGAAATCCCAGCTCTTGACCATGGAGTTTTAAGTTAAGATTTAGTAAGCTATGGAATTTTAATTATTATGATTCAGGGGTTAAAGATCTTGTTAATGGGGTTTAAACTTGTTCTCATAGAGGACCATTTGGAAATTAATGTTTAAATTCTATTCACATTGAAGCTGCCTATTTAATTTGGTTTCTTACTGTGCATTTGACATTGCAAGGTCAAGGCATGTTTTTAACAAAATGAAACTGGCAAGGGTCCTTCCCTGAAGAGGACAGCTCTTCCAAACCCTTCTTTGAAATAAAAAATCATATTCAGTAGTCCTTAGTGGTTTTTATTTTATGGAGCCTAACTTAACATTCCCATCTCTGCCCCCTTTTAGCTGGTGTAAGAGTGCCTGTGTCCACTGGCTCCTTAGCCAAGAAGCATCTGGATGGGTCATATAATTTATCCCATTTTTTCCAGCTATAATAACACCAAAAAAAATCCAGCATGAAGAAACTCTTGTAATTCTAAATACCTCTAGAACAGAATGACGATGACAATGATAATGATGATAATAATAATAATAATAACCACCATTTACTGAGCACTGAGCACACACCAGGCCCTGTGCTGAGCTCTTTTTCTGTATCATCTCACACAACCCTAACAGCGGCCCTGTGAAGTAGGTATTGTTACCATTCCCATCTTACAGATCAGGAAACTGAAGCTTAGAGAATTAAGTCATTTGCCCATGTCTACAGAGAGGGGATTCATTCCCACTTTTTTGGGACAAATAATTCCTGTATTTAGCAATTCCAATTATCATTTATTTATCCATTCATGCAGTGAACACCTATTTAGCATTAGCCAGCGCCAGCCCTTGTTGAAGCCCTGGGGACTCAAAGGTGAATAGAATTTCCCTGCCCTTCAGAACCCTGCAGTTTGGAGGGAGAGATAAGCACAGAATCTTGTGATTAATCTTATGATGTGATTAATGCTGTAACAGGAACAGCATAGCAGAGCAGTGAACATGGCTTCTGGGGAGAAACCGTCTGGGTTAAACTCCTGGTCCCCCCACTCACTGTGTGGCTCTGAGCAGGTCGCTTACCACCTACCTCTGTGCCTCAGATACCTCCGACATGAATGGAGGTAAAACAGTCCCTCCTTCTAGGACTGTCTGAAGGACCAAATGTCAGCCAAGGTAGAGCCTTTGGATCCGAGTCTGCCACACAGCTAATGCTCCATCCATGTCTGTTCTTCCCTTGAATATAACACGTGTATGTACAAGCTGTGGTGGGAACATAGAGGAAGGCTTCAGAGCACTGACTTCTGAGCAGATGACTTGAGTGGTGGCCACTGAGGCAGGAGGAAGACAGGGAAGGGGGTCACAACTGCAGTTTTAGTAGAGTGTTACCAGCAGATGATGGAAGATGGAGGGAAGGGAAGTGGCGAGTGAAGGCAGGCTCTCAGTAAGTTTATACGATGATGAGAAAAGAGGAAATAGGAAATAAATGCTCTGAAGAATGAAATATGGAGCCGGTTGGAGGCAAGCAAAAGGGTTACCCAGCAGTGCAGTGGGTTGTGCCGAACTTGGAGCCATGGATACACATGTAGTGGTACCAGTCCGTGTAGTGATGTGATTCCCATCCCACAGTATTCAGCTCCCTGGTCCAACCATGAGTTGGACCTGCAGGGGTTCCCCTGCTAGCTCACCTGTGCCCTGCCTGCCTGCTGTGACAGAGGCCCACCTTCTCTGCTTCTTTAGGACTGGGGGAACTGGTCATGCTGGGATAGACTCAGCACCTTCTCCTGCCACCTTTCCTATTCAAGATCCATGGATTTGAGTTTCTTGACTTCTTGGCCATTTTTGTGACTCTAGTCTCTCTCCATGTTCTCTCCAAATTGCTGCACAATTGTTGGAGCCCAGCCTGTTTCATTAGGGGCTGGAGCCTCTGATTCCTGCATGTTGTTTTCCTGTCTAAGGGTCTGGGATTGTGTTTCCCTTCTTTGCTTCTAGTGCTTCATTTCTCTTCCAAGGTTCAATCTCATTTGCATGCCAGAAATGTTAAAAAACGCACGATAGCTCTTTTCACCTGTAGCCATCTGTACGCTTGGTTCTTTTCCCTTGTTCTAACTATTACCAATTCAAACTTTTGTTGAGAACGTTTGGTGGTAACACTTAGGTAAACCCTAGTGGCTAAAGTGATGAATAAGACAGAGTCCTTAACTTCAAGTGGAGACAATAAGCTTTGTACAAAAATGTTTGCGTGCCAGAAAGGGAGAGCTTTCTTCTCTGTCTTCTATCACTTTGCTAACGGCATTGTATTTACATTTAGCATCTATTTCTATTACCCACCTATTTTGACTAGTTAACAATTTGTTATCATGTAGTTACAGATAAAAATTAGGCTTAGGGTGTATGTTTTTAAGAAACCACTCTGATAACTGCCCAGGACAGTGATTCTTAAGGTAGGGTAGATGTAAAGAATTTTCATAGTCACAGGGAAAAATTGCTTTTCAAAGTACATCCCCTCAACCATGCTTCCTCTGAGATTCTGAACTTCTACCCTCTCAGTCCCTGCTCTTTGAGATAATTACTGCAAGAGACACTATAAAACTCGGTAGTCCCCAACTTTTTTGGCACCAGTGACCAATTTCATGGAAGGCGATTTTTCCATGGACTGGGGTCGGGGAGATGGTTTCAGGATGATCAGAGCACATTACATTCAAGCTCGCCTCCTGCTTTGCTCTTGGCTTTGGCCCAGTGCCAGTCTGTGGCCCTGAGGTTGGGGACCCGTGCTGTAACAGACGGCAGTGTGGCCTCTGCCTCAAGTCTGTAGGGAGAAAAATGCCAAAAATTCAGAGCCAGTTGGGCACACACCCAACAATTGCTGGATCTAAATCTCTTCCTGCCACAGTGTTGTCATGACCACGTCCAGGTGTCGCTTACCCACCCCACTGCTGCAGTGTTCCCAGAACCCCAGTCCTGATCTGCGGCCGTAAGGCAGAGCCCCAGAACCTCACACACACAGAAACAGCATCGTGGGTGAACCGAGGGGTCACTGGACTGATGAAGCACTAGGCAAACTAAAGCTCCTAAAGCTGCAAAAAAGCCAAAACATTTAAAAGTACAAATATCACCTTTTAGATTCCCAGGGCAAACTGCCCCCTTCAGTCTGATGTTGATTTTGAATTGAAACCTCCTATTTCCTGGTGTGCCCAGGGTGTTGAGGAAACATCATGAGTGTTTGAAAACTGGGTCTGTTCAGCCCATTGAAACGAAGGGTTCCATCAGCATTCCTCACCAGAAAGGGCGTGTTTCACTTCACTCAGTGTCTTGGTCCCCTTCTCGGCAACACTTGGGGATCTGGTATTTCAGCGCATGAAACATAGCACAGAAGCGCTCTTCAGCCTCAACCCCAAAGCGGTTTTTCCTCGGTTTGTCTCGCATGGAGCAACCCTGTCTTCCTTTGTAAGAAATTCCTTTAATGAAAATTTTCCTCTGTTTTTTACAGACTCTATTTCTCCATGCAAGCTCGTGGAGAGACTGACAGAGAAAAGTTGCTGTTAATGTATCAGACAAATGACCAAATAATAAATGGACTTTTTCCTCTGAACAAGGACCTGGCGTTAGAAATGGCGGCTCTTTTAGCTCAGGTAACTTCCGTGCTGTATGGGGAAATATTTTGTAAAGGTCAAATACTCATTTCAACACTGAGTTAAATGTAATAAAACAATATACCTTCCGTGATTCTTTAAATTCACTTTGCTGTGATTAACACCTTCAAAATTACAGGCATTATAATTACAGTGTGACTCCAATCACCGACAATTGCAGTGATGTGGAATGAGACAGTATTCCATAAAGGGAACCAGCTAGATTTTAATTATCTTGAAAGTTTGCCACTAGACTTTGCATTTAATACAGGAGTTTGCATTTAATACAGGACAGCCTCGGGGTAAGGACACCATGCCAAACCACCCTCTCAGCTAATAGGAATCAGTCTTTAACAGGCTAAAGCACTTTCTTTTGTTTACCTGTTGCATCAATTCGGATTCAGTCCAGACTTCTGTAAAAACACACACATGCAAATTAATAGTGACAATCCAGATAGAAGTATATTTGTCTCATGTAGAGAGACAGGCATACCAGCATCTCTCCAAGGTCATCGTGGGCACGGGCCTCATCCTGCCCTTTGTTCTGCTGTCCCCAGTGTGTCATCTGCATGGTCCTGGACATCTCCAGAGCTGCAGATACGGCGTCAGTGTTCTAGGCATGAGAACAAGGAAGGGCTGAAGAAGGGTGTGTCCCCCGCCCTGGAGAAGTTTGCCTGCAGATAAATGGAACAGTTCCATTTCTGTCGGTCCGGCCAAACTTAGTCTCGTGGCCTTGTCAACTTGGAGGAGAGACTGGAGAATGTAGTCTTACACGGGCAGCAATGAGCTCAGATAAAGTCAGGGCTTCATGGCTTGGAAGGAAGGAGAGAATGCTTTAACAGGCAACCCCCAGTCCCCACCGCCCCTGAATCTTTGCCCACGCTAGTTCAGGCGACTCTGTGACATGTCGTCGGTTTTCAGTCTCCTCACTCCACACAACATCCCGGGATCTAATTCATTCTCTTCATTTTTTCCTACCACCTATGCCACTGATCCCCAGGTCTTTTCTCTCTGGTTCATACTTCTATGGGCCCCTTAAATTCGCCACATCAGGGACTGAACTGATCACCTTCCCTTCTCTTCCCTCACATTCTGTATCTTCAAGGGCTACAGCTTCGACCCCCCACCCCCAGCAAGCTGCAAATCCCAGAACTGTCACCGACTGTGCCCTCCCCTTTGCCCTGTCCCCCCAGTCACCGTGTCCTGCCTATTTTAACTCCCAGGCTTTGCGCCCTGCAGCTTCACCTCTCGACACGCCCTGTCTCAGACTCTGTGCTCCCCATGCAGCATGCGCCGTGGCTCCGAGCACGGTTCCCTGGCGTGCCGGCAGTTCACATCTTCACAGCTGCTGTCTGGTCCCAACCGTCATCAGAGCCTCCCTGCTGCCGGCATCAGGCTTCTGATCACTAAGGTTTTCTGTGCTCTGGGCCCCACAAATTTACCCTCCACCCAAATGCCAGAGAGATTGTTCTGTCGTCTGTGGCTTCCTAACAAATGACTCCAAGACTCAGTCACTTCAGACTGTAGCAATTTGGGCAGGAATATGTCAGGATACCTCATCTCTGTAGCACGTGGTACCAGCTGGCACGGCTGGTTGAAGGCTGGTTGTGACCCCACAGCTGGGGGCTGGAAGCATTTTTAGGTCAGTCGCTCATACATCTGGTGGCTGACGCATCTGGTGGCTGATGCTGTCAAGTAGAACTTCTGCTGGGCTGTCAGCTGGGACACCTCAGGTGCTTCCTCACAGAATGGTGCTTGGGTAACAAGAGCAGCATCCTGAAAGAGACAAGAAGTGGAAGCTGCTATTTCCTTAAGGCCTAGGCCTGGAAACTCTGCCATGGTGGTTTGTTACATAGCACTAGTAACCGGGATGGAGATCTAGCAAACCACGAACCTAGCCATGTTGTTCCCTTGTGTACATAGAAGGGCTTTCGTGATTTAAACTTGGCCTGCCTCTCCCACCGCATCTCTTAACACCCCCTGCCTTGAACTTTGTGCTGCAGTACAGCATAAACTGTGGTTCCCTGTACAGTTCCCTGACTTGAACATGGCTCACTTTTTCTTACCTCTTAGACTTCACTTGTGTGTCTCCTTTTCCTGAAACATCTCTACCTCCATCCTTTTATTTGCTTACTTCAGCTTATTCTTTAATCTTCATCTTAGGTCTCACTTTTTCCAGGAATCCTTCCTGAATTCTGCCTGGGTGGGGTAAATGTTTGTCCTGGGGTTTCTGTAAGGTCTGGCACAGGGCTACCACCGTCCTGACCTCAGTGGTTCATTATCGTTTGTTTACTTCTGCTTTGGACTCTCACTTGGCCTCCCCGAGGGCCAGGGCTGTCTCTGTTTATCTTTGTATCTCACACGGTGCCCCACACTCAGTCCGTTGTCCATAAATGTCTTGAATGAATGAATAGTAGACAATTAGTTTACTTTTACAATGATTTTATCCAAAGATCAAAACATTAGTGCTACACTGAGTGTTCTCTTTCTATAAGTAATGAAAAGCTGAAGAAAGGAGACATAGGTCCCAGATTCCTTTAATGATAGAATTAGGAGTCATTTCCTGTCATGTGCAATTCTAGGCTTTAGTCTGCCAAAGGCATAGGTCCTCTGTTAAAATCACTCTCATTTTTACTAAAATTTAAGTTAGTTTTCTTATATCAACTTTTAATTTTGTCAAGAAAGCCTCTCCGAGAAAAATTGTTAGAGTCATTTCCTGTCATGTGCAATTCTAGGCTTTAGTCTGCCAAAGGCATAGGTCCTCTGTTAAAATCGTCAGCCTCTCATATTTACTACACATGGCTAAGTTAGTTTTCTTATATCAACTTTTAATTTTGTCAAGAAAGCCTCTCCGAGAAAAATTGTTATATACTTTGGAAATAGTACGTTTAACACTTTTAGGAGAATGTGAGAAAGGGCTAGAAAGGTAAGACCATACACCTAGAAAATTCTGAGCCCATAACTAAAAAGTATAATTTCTCCATCTACAAAAGGAAACATTCTTAAAATCTCTGTTTGCTTTTCCCCACAGTAGTATTTGATAAGATAAATGAAATATACTAAAGAAATATGAGCTCTGTAGAAGAAAGCAGTTACATCTGTTGTAGACTTGAATATACTCGTGTGTAGGTCCTTGTTGATGTTCTCTGGCTTAATTAGGAAATCTTGGAGCTGATTGTTAATTGTTGTACATGGTGTCTGCTAAGGCATCATGTTGATGGGAGGCATGCTGGGAATTATCTGAGTTGATTTTCATTTGTTCTCCAATTATTATGCTTGTTCTGTGCCACACGGTATAGACTTCAGAGCAGGGAGATAGTAAGCTTGGGGATATAACACCATCAGGTTCCCTAAGAGACAAGGTTTCCCGGAATGCTTACGTGTAACTGTTGTTTGTCCAATTCCCGTATCCTTGGAGGTTAAAATCTGATCTCAGGTTTCACAGGTACCTGTGCTGAGTACTACCTGGTGCTTGGTGGGGGACACTAAAAAGCTTGCTGTGGGGGAAAAAGTTTATATGGTGTCAAGAAATGAGGAAGGATACCTGATCAGAGAGGAGATGGGGGTGACTGATGAACAGCAAAGACAAGCTAAGAAACCAACAAACAGACTGTAAGGATGAAGTCCAACTGAGGAACTGAGACAGTAAGTGGTCATCTTAAGAGCCAGACAATGGAAGCCAAAGGGGTCTGAATCTCAAAGGCTAGTTGTACTGACAGCTCTTCTGGAGGCCAAGGGCCCTTTTGAAATGATGAGGTGGCACTTTCTGTAAGCCCATCCCAGTCCTGATGGAGCCCTCCATCCGCTTTTTGAGGAACGATGTGAACGTTCTATAGAATCTGAGTGTCCCCCACCCAGTTCACTCCTGAAGCTCTCCTTTGGTACCTTACCCAAGGCATTTAACTCAGTTTATCACGAGCATTTGTTTATACTCCAGTCTCCTACTAGACATTAGCTCTTCGAGGATAAAAGCTACGCTCAACTGTTTTCTTTCTCACATCACTGAGCACAGTGCCTGACACATAAAGGGGACTGACTTAGTATAGGTTTGGCTGAATGAATGGGTGGGTAGTTGGGTAGTTGGATCAGTGGGCAGGGGCTGGTATCTGTGTTGCCTGTTAATAGAGATAAGGATTGGACATTCTTGCATTCGGGGAGAAGGAGGCTTTTAGTCCCAGGAATACCAGAATAATGAAATGAGGGGATGAACCCAGTAACATTTACACAGAAAATCTAGGAAGAGAGGAATGAGAATATAGTTCTTGGTCCCATTGTATTCAATAAAGATCCTTAAAAAGTTCAAGTAATACTTTCTTGAGATTTCTCTTTTTATAACTTTTCTTGTCTTTCATTTTTAACTTCTATTTTCCTTCTTATTGTCAATCAAAATGGTACCTTAAAAATGACAAACCTTCCTGTGCTGTAACAGGCAATAGCAAAGTAGTGTGGCCATTAGCAAGTACTACTGGGAGGAGGTGTCAGCCTAGGGTACGTAATGTAGAACCAGAGCAGAAATTCTCAAGCTACAGATGATTTCAAAACTAGCCTTCAAACGGAATTTAGATTTTAATAATAACACTTACATATTATTATAAATTCCAAAATCACACAATCATGACAAGTAGAGTTATTGATTTATATTATATATAATTATATATTATAATGTAATTGTATGTGATTATATATTATGTGATTATATGTAATTATATATTGTAAAGAATGTTTAGAAATAATAAAACTGATTTTCTTTTTCAAAACTCTTTTCAACATCCTATATTTTTCTCTTTTTTGGATTTCCCATTAGGTGGAGATTGGAGATTTTGAAAGACCCTTTTCTACTCCAGCAGGGCAAGTCACTAATCAGTGCAAAGCAAATCAGACTCTAAAGCAAGTCATAGAGAAATTTTATCCTAAGAGATATAGAGATGACTCCTCTGAAGAACAGTTAAGGTAAGGAACTGCTTGTAAGTCTTTAAAAAGGCAGAGTCACACTTTTTTTTGGGGTTGATATTTTAAGGATGAAAATATTGTATTGTACATGACCTTTTCTTTTTAAGACTTTTTAATAGTGCTGAATCCCAAGAGGTTGTAGGTCTTTTTAAAAAACTTACTTGTTACTGTATTTTTTTTCATTATCATTAATCCTCCTTCTGCCCCCTCCCCCACCTCATAATCACCACACTGTTGTCTATGTGAATCCGTTTCCTCTTTGCTTTAAGATATGCCTAAAAACTTTAGAGTTTTTTGGAAGTGCGTAAAGCTTTTAGATGCCTAAAAATTTTACCTTCATTTAGAAGATCCACTTTTCATTTGATTTTATTCATCCTTGTCCAAATTAATACTGGTAACAAATAAAAGGAAAAAGTGGTCAATAATATGTTTAATTTTATGAAAGGTTTATCAAAAATATTTTTTATCTCTTAGGGTATTCCACACAAGATTCTTAGTATAAAATCTTAAACTCAATTAATTTGGAGTTTTTATGTTTTAGAGCATATACAAGAAAAGCTATAGATTCAAAACTAGAGGAAATCCAACTCACCATGAGTTGTTCCAAAGTAGGAGCATCTGAGGTCAGTCTTTTGTCTCTGCAGAATATGTGGTCTGGAAGAGGTCTTCCCTGCCTCCGGCGGCTCTCCAAGCCAGGAGTGGCAGTTCCTAAAATTTCACTGTCAGGGATTCATTCTTTGGTCTTAACTTCTTATATTTTTCTTTAAAAATGAAAGCTATTCCCATGAGAAATTGCCTTTCAAACTAATTAACACTGAGGTTTGATGTTGGCTAATCAGATTTTTTAAATGTTTGTGAATGGGTGGGGAGCAGGAGACCACAGGCATGCCGAGAGCACTGATACCGAGAATTTGGTGAAAAGGAATACTACTGAAGTCAGGACAAAGGTGGGCAGTGCGTAGATGGGAGCACAAAATACAGCTTTACCTAGGTCATGCCTGGGTACCCCACTAATGTCTAGGATGGGCTTAGGGAGAGCTTTCTCTTGGGAAATAACCCACTCTTTCTGTTTTTGCTTTTGTGTGTTTGTTTCTGTTCCTTTTTTTTTTTTAGGCAACTTTGCCAGCGACTATCAACCAGATGGATGGCCCTCCGGGGACACAGTGCCGCTGACTGTGTGCGAATTTATTTGACAGTAGCCAGGAAGTGGCCATTCTTTGGTGCCAAGTTGTTTCTTGCAAAAGTAAGAAAGAATGGGGGATGATTCAGTTCAGTACAATAAAACAGTAACCCCAGGTTTATATGTTCAGCTATTGAAAAGAAAATTCCCAACAATTTAAAGAAAACAGTGAAGGCACATTAAGAACAAAGCAGGAAAGTCATCAGCTTCCCTACCTTTTCCCTTCCACTCCATGTCCCCATACCTCAAATTACTTCTTATACTCATTAGGTTCATCATCAGACTAAAGACAGCAGCTGGACTTTGCTTGCTTTTCATTCACTCATTCATTTCCGCTCTCACTCATTTGCTCAGTTATTTGGTATTTAATGAGTTCTGTTTGTCAAACACTAAGCTAAACTCTAGGGGATACATAAGCTTGTGGTTTCAGATGGGTTGTACTCACACTTCCAAGAATTTACAATCCAGTGTTGCAACAGGCCTGGGAATAACTCCTATGTGGTGAATGTGGCCAAGAGTGACATAAACAGTGCTTCAGAAACACGGAGGGTGGAGAGACTAACCCTGCTGGGGTAGATTAAGTAGCTTATCCAAGTGCACACATTAATAAATGGCAATTTTAGATCTCAAACCCGGGTCTCCTAATATCAGATTCACTGCTCCTTGCATTATGCCACACTGCCTCCTCCCCAAGAGAGATTTTTAGTAAGTTCTTGTTGTTTCAAATGTTGTGTTGCATTTAGGTTGAAAAATACTTCTCTAATTTTGCTTGGCATTTATTATTACATAATGTATTTTCACCTCTTTATAGCCCATAACTCCATCATCACTTGGAAGTACTTTCCTGTGGCTGGCTATACATGAGGATGGTTTAAGCATCTTAGAATACAACTCCATGGTAAGATTAAATTCTAATGTTTAACATTGTCAATTATTTCCATCACTCAGTGTACTGTAAACAGTAGGTAATGATATCTTAATCTGATTTTCTTCATAGTACTATAAAATGAATATTAATTTTGCAAATATACAGCTAGGATTACAATTTCATCTTTCAAAACAAGATTAGACAGGTTATATACAGGCATACCTCGGAGATACGCAGTTTGCTTCCAGAGCATCTCAATAAAGCAACATCACAATAAAGCAAGTCACAAATTTTTTAGTTTCCCACTGCATATACAAGGTATATTTATACTATACATTGTAGTCTGTTAAGTGTGCCAGTAGCACTGTGTCTCAAAAAAAATACATACCTTAATTTAAAAAAATGTTACTGCCAAAAAATGCTAACCATCACCAAAGTGAGTCACAATCTTTTTGCTGGTGGAGGGTTTTATCTTCAACTTATAAAAAAAATAGGATAAAAGTGAAGTGCAGTAATCTAAAGCACAATAAAACAAGGTATGCCTGTACTGTGTATAACTAAATTGCAATCATGGTTGTATTCATAAAGTGACTGTTCATTTTTAATGTTAGGAAGATTGCTTCCTATGTAAAATAAAAAAAAATAACATTAAAACAGAAACTTCAGTTAGCAAAACAGAAGTTCAGTTTCACTACATCTTCTATAACAATTTCTCTACCATATATTACCATGTATAATGCGCACTTTTTCACCTAAACTTTTAAGGGAACTATAAGGATGCACATTATACATGGGTAGTACTAATTTCATATCTATATAAATATTTTTAATTCTTTTATTTATGCTTGTGCGTGAAGAGTGTAACTCTAGAAAGCAATAATAATATCCATATGCAAAATAATACCCTGGAATGCGATAATTGGTTTTGTTTCTAAATATAAACAATTGAATTAAAAAATTAAAACAAAGAGTTTTTTTTCCTGAAAGTTTGGGCCAAAAATGTGGGTTTTATTTATTATACACAGGACCGCATTGTACACAGCAAAATGCGGTAGAGAAATCATTACAGAAGACTAGTGAACCTGAACTTCAACTCTGGTAACTGAACTTTCTATTTTAATAATTTCCTGTAATATCACTTACCAGTTTGGTTTTACCTACATTGTACCTTAGAACTTTTTATGTGGTTAAATATAGTCAAACTATGCTTTCTATGTGTTCATTTATGTCATATATATCATTCTATGTAGTAAGAAAAATTTTTTTAACCTGATGGGCAGGACTTGCTAACTTTTAGTGGTAAGTGTGGTTGGCTGTCCTACCTGTGGATAGTCAGTGATCGTGAGTATGTTTTAGAAACCAAACTATCCTTCGGTGTTATTTAACTGTTTCTCCTTATAATTGCTAAAAAAAAATTTTTGAAGGAGTTAATACTTTTGAATGCCTTTTATTCTTTAATGGATAACTTGAAGACATGATAAAACCAGTGACTTAAAGCCAACAGAACATTGTACGCCTGTGTCGAGTTACTAGGTAAACCCGTTCTCCAGGTCCTGGGGGAGGACGCACAGGCCCGGAAGTGGACGTGTGCGGGCAGCAGCTCTGGAGCCATCAGTGCTGCAGTGGTCTGCTCGGAGTCTTGCAAACTAATCATTAGACGTGCAGATTCCCTTCCTTTCAGGCTGTATATCTCTGAATTATATTTTAAAAATTGTTTTAGCAACATAATATGGGAAATATTTGTTGTATATCTGATAAAAGGTCAGTATTCTTTATAAACATGGATGTCTTAATAAAACAATAAGGAAATGATAAGCACACCAATAGACAAATGGACCAAGGCAATTCACAGAAGAAATACAAATGTTCAATAGATATATTTTTAAATGTTAATCTCCATAGTAATCAACTAAATCCAATTTAAAACAGTGAGATTCTACTTTTCACCAGTCAGGTTGGCAGATTCAAAGAATGATGATAGCCAACGTTAGCCAGACTGGGGTGCTAGGAAGAGAAATGGTATATCCTTTCTGGAGGCGTTTGGAAGTATTTTTAACATTGTCTTTACTTTCTTGAGGTAGCAATTCCAGCTGCTGAGGTTTAGAACCAAAAAAATAACTACATATGCGTATTATGAACTGTGTTGAAAGGTATGCATCAGAGTATTGCTTAAGATAGTAACAAATAAAAATGAAATATTCTGCAGTAGTTTAGTTAAATTAAAAATTCTCTACAAAATCGTTTTCAATGCTGTTATGCAAGTATGTTTGTTGTCATGGAAATATTTTCACAATATGTTAAGTTAAAAAAGAAGCAATATGCATGATACTGTTCTGTTCATGTAAATCAAAATCTGTACATTAGGGTGAACCACGTGGATTTGCTAATATTTGACCATGTTTTACCTTAAAAAGTGTTCACTTCATATGGTTCAACGGAAATATATATATGTGTGTGTGTGTGTGTATATACATATCTTAACGGACATATACAAAAATATTAACGGTGATTTTTCCACTGGATACCAGAACATATTAATAGATGCTTTTTATTTTCTCCTCGAATTTTCTCATTTTCCTGCAGTGAGTTATTTGTTTCATAATCAAAATGTATTATAATTATAAAGGTAAATGATGCCTAAATAAAATTAGTGCACTACTCTCTATTTTGGATCATGATAAATTTGATTTCAGGAAATTTTTTTATATTACATCATACTTAATATCAGCATTTAATGGAGATATGTGACTGACTAATCATTTTTCATCTTTCTTTGAAAATAAAGATTGTATAACATATTTCCTTCTCTTTGAAGAGGTTAATAGTCATAACATATTTCCTTCTCTTTGAAGAGGTTAATAGTCACCTATGTGTACAAGAGTCTAATGACCTTTGGAGGGTATCAAGAGGACTTTATGATAGTCATTAGCAACACACATTCAAAGGACAAACCAACAGAGAAATTACTTTTTGCCATGGCAAAACCCAAGGTGAGTAGAAGCCTTTCCACCAACTTTTTAAGCTAGTTTTTTTCATACTAAAACATTTATTGTGCGAAGGCTAAGTTCCAGATGGGAAAACAGTCTTCTCTCACAATCACACAGCTCTAGATCCAAATTCTGGCTTACTTCATCTTTACAAAGCCTTGGTTTCTTCATCTGAAAAAGTGGAATGATGCTACCTTTGAGGGGAGGGGAGTTAGGAATGAAATGAAGGAATTGTAAGGTATTTAGCCCAATGCTTGTTATACAGAAGGTTCAAAATAAGTGGCCTTAGTGTAAGTTGTTGTCAGGTACTTTATACGCATTATTTTATTTACTTGGAGTAATTCACTTATGGACCCATTAGTGGGGAGATTAAGGTTTTATAATTAAAATGTACTTGTTTCTATACTATTTTTAGCAAACTGTAGTTTTTGTGTCTGCAACTAAAAGCAATAACTCTTCATTCTACTGTGTAATTCCAATTTTTGTGAAAAGAATGAGAAATTGATTTTTCCTAAAACTTTAACTTAAAATTGTCAACCAGAAGGGTTTACTTTTTTAGAATCTGAGGTTTTTTTAGAGATGACAGATACCTTTTTTTATTAAATCTATGCTCAAGTGAAGGCAGATGGTACAGAGCACACACAGTGCTCTAGTTTAAATAGCAATAAACTGCTTCACTTCTGCCAAGATGGAGGCATAGGTGGAAGCACTGCACCTTCTCGCACAACTAAGTTTAAAAACAACAAAGTTTTAGCAACAAAAACACAGCCAAACCACAGAAAATTGAACTACACGGAAGTCTGACAACAACGAACCCTTCAGACAAACTGGTAAGAGGGGCAGAGCCAGCAGCAGAGCGGGGTCAGGCAGAAAAGATTCACCGGACAGACCCGGGCGCATGACCCAGGTGCGCCAGCAGTAGTGGGCAGATCCCAGGTGTGGAGAAGCGGGCAGACCCACTGAGGGCTTGATTGTGGTCGCACATTCGCGCACAGATAAACTGGTGAAGGAGCTAGCAGTGAGACCGACCGAGCAGGCTCCAGCGGCAGGAAGTGGCAGAGGGAACTGCCATTGTCCTTCTCTGAC